CCAATCGGAAGAGCGGGTCGGGCGCTTCGCCTGAGGCTTCCCTACCACATGAACCTGAAGCTAAAAGATCGGCAACGGTCTCACAGCTGTCGCCTTTGCGCCGCACACATGATTCTTATAAAACTTGCAAGAGTTTCAGGGCGTGGGGTCAGGTGGTTTTCAAAATGTGGCTCTCGCCTTAGCGCCGCGCACATTCGCTTTGAAAGTTTCCAACAATTCAACGGATCGAAGGCGATGTGGCTCTCGCCTGAGCGCCGCACACTCTCGTCTTACAATGCTGCAGGCGCTTCACGAATCGAGTGTGATTCCCTTCCAAGAAGTGGATCTCGGCATAGCGCCGCGCACACTCGTCTCAAACATTTGCAGGGCGGCTCCGTTTTAAAAACTTGCCAGCGGTTCACGGATTGAGGGCCGCCCCTTTTCAAAATGTGGCTCTCGCCTAGCGCCGCGCACACTCGTCTTAAACATTTGGCAGAGGTCCACGGATTGAGGGCCTTTCCTTTCCAAAATGCGGCTCTCGCCTGATCACCGCGCACACTCACTCGTCTTACAAATCACAAATCTGCAAGAGTTTCACGGATTCAGGGCACTTCCTTTTCAAAACGCAGCTCTCGCCTTCTCGCCGCGCACACTCGTCTTAAACACGTGCAAGGGTTCCACGGGTATGTGTGTAAACTACCAGAAATGGTGTTTAGGAGCAGATGTGGACAGTCCGGGCGCAACAGTGACGTGGACTCACAGTGCTGAACCCCCAGGAACAGTTTCTGCACGATTCAGGATCGTCAACGTTGATTCGCGGCGTTGACGTACCGGGAGTGTTTGGCACGCTTGGGGGTCCTCAAACGGCTGTCTCGCAACGGGGCACTTCCCTCAGAGGGAATGAAACCTTGTAGGGATCTACTAGGAGGGAGCTTGGAGGGTCTGTTCCAACATCGTTGATGAGTCTTGGGATTACACTAGTCCTCATCCTCCTCCTCGTCCTCTTCCTCCTCCTCGTCGTCCTCCTCCTTCTCGTCCTCCTCCGCCTCCCCCTCCTCCTCCTCCTCCTCCTCCTCCTCCTCCTCCTCCTCCTCTCCTCCTCCTCCTCCTCTTCTTCCGTATCCTCCTCTTCCTCCTCCTCCTCCTCCTCCTCCTCATCATCATCATCCTTCTCCTCCTCCTCCTCCTCTTCCTCCTCCTCCTCTTCCTCCTCCTCCTCCTCCTGCTCCTCCTGCTTCTCCGCCTCATCCTCCTCCTCCTCATCCTCCTTCTCCAACTCCTGCTCCTCCTTCTCCTCCTCCTCGTCATTATCATCATCACCACCAACAACATCATCATCAGAATCAGTATCATCAGAATCAGAATCAGAATCATCAGAATCGTCATCAACAGCCTCCTCCTCATCATCATCAGCATCATCATCATCATCGTTGTCAACATCATCATCGTCGGCGTCGTCATCATCGTCATCATCATCAGCAGCAGCATCAACCTCATCATCATCATCATCATTAGCAGCAGCATCATCATCATTAGCATCATCATGAGCATCATCATCATCATCATCATCTGCAACAGCATCATCATCATCATCATCATCATCATCATCATCAGCATCATCATCATCATCATCATCAGCATCATCACCATCATCATCATCATCATCATCGTCATCATCATCATCATCATCATCATCATCATCATCATCATCATCATCAGCAGCAGCAGCATCATCATCATCATCAATATCATCAGCCATCATCATTATCATCATCATCATCTATTCATCGTCATCATCAGGCATCATCCATCATCATCATCATCATCATTCATCCTCATCATCAGTATCGTCATCGTTCATCGTCACGTCAGCGTCAGCATGCATCAGCATCATCATCATCATCATAATCATCATCCATCATCATCATCATCATCATCATATCATCATCATCATCATCATACTTATCTGTCCTCTTCCTCTCCTTCTCCTTCTCATTACACCCCGCCTGCTCCTCCTCCTCCTCCTCCTTCCTCCTCCTCCTCCCTCCTCCCCTCCTCCTCCTCCTCCCCCCCCTTGCTTGTCCTGGTTCGCTTTTTCCTCCTCCTCCTCCTCCTCCTCCTCCCTCCTTCTTCATAATCATCCCTCATCATCATCATCATCATCATCATCATCATCATCATCATCATCATCATCATCATCATCATCATCATCATCATCATCGTCATCATCATCATCATCATCATCATCATCATCATCAGCAGCAGCAGCAGCATCAGCATCATCATCATCAGCATCAGCATCCTCAACATCAGCATCATCATCAGCATCATCATCAGCAGCATCATCATCGTCATCATCATCAGTATCATCATCAGCATCATTACCATCAGCATCATCATCATCAGCAACAGCATCATCATCATCATCGTCATCATCATCATCATCATCATCAGCATCATCATCATCGTCATCATCATCATCATCATCAGCATCAGCATCATCATCATCATCATCATCATCATCATCATCATCATCGTCCTCCTCCTCCTCTGCCTCCTCTTCCACCTCCATGCCTGTTCCTTATGCATAATTCCTCCCTGTCACACCTCGAGGCCAATCGGAAGAGCGGGTCGGGCGCTTCGCCTGAGGCTTCCCTACCACATGAACCTGAAGCTAAAAGATCGGCAACGGTCTCACAGCTGTCGCCTTTGCGCCGCACACATGATTCTTATAAAACTTGCAAGAGTTTCAGGGCGTGGGGTCAGGTGGTTTTCAAAATGTGGCTCTCGCCTTAGCGCCGCGCACATTCGCTTTGAAAGTTTCCAACAATTCAACGGATCGAAGGCGATGTGGCTCTCGCCTGAGCGCCGCACACTCTCGTCTTACAATGCTGCAGGCGCTTCACGAATCGAGTGTGATTCCCTTCCAAGAAGTGGATCTCGGCATAGCGCCGCGCACACTCGTCTCAAACATTTGCAGGGCGGCTCCGTTTTAAAAACTTGCCAGCGGTTCACGGATTGAGGGCCGCCCCTTTTCAAAATGTGGCTCTCGCCTAGCGCCGCGCACACTCGTCTTAAACATTTGGCAGAGGTCCACGGATTGAGGGCCTTTCCTTTCCAAAATGCGGCTCTCGCCTGATCACCGCGCACACTCACTCGTCTTACAAATCACAAATCTGCAAGAGTTTCACGGATTCAGGGCACTTCCTTTTCAAAACGCAGCTCTCGCCTTCTCGCCGCGCACACTCGTCTTAAACACGTGCAAGGGTTCCACGGGTATGTGTGTAAACTACCAGAAATGGTGTTTAGGAGCAGATGTGGACAGTCCGGGCGCAACAGTGACGTGGACTCACAGTGCTGAACTCCCAGGAACAGTTTCTGCACGATTCAGGATCGTCAACGTTGATTCGCGGCGTTGACGTACCGGGAGTGTTTGGCACGCTTGGGGGTCCTCAAACGGCTGTCTCGCAACGGGGCACTTCCCTCAGAGGGAATGAAACCTTGTAGGGATCTACTAGGAGGGAGCTTGGAGGGTCTGTTCCAACATCGTTGATGAGTCTTGGGATTACACTAGTCCTCATCCTCCTCCTCGTCCTCTTCCTCCTCCTCGTCGTCCTCCTCCTTCTCGTCCTCCTCCGCCTCCCCCTCCTCCTCCTCCTCCTCCTCCTCCTCCTCCTCCTCCTCCTCTCCTCCTCCTCCTCCTCTTCTTCCGTATCCTCCTCTTCCTCCTCCTCCTCCTCCTCCTCCTCATCATCATCATCCTTCTCCTCCTCCTCCTCCTCTTCCTCCTCCTCCTCTTCCTCCTCCTCCTCCTCCTGCTCCTCCTGCTTCTCCGCCTCATCCTCCTCCTCCTCATCCTCCTTCTCCAACTCCTGCTCCTCCTTCTCCTCCTCCTCGTCATTATCATCATCACCACCAACAACATCATCATCAGAATCAGTATCATCATAATCAGAATCAGAATCATCAGAATCGTCATCAACAGCCTCCTCCTCATCATCATCAGCATCATCATCATCATCGTTGTCAACATCATCATCGTCGGCGTCGTCATCATCATCGTCATCATCATCAGCAGCAGCATCAACCTCATCATCATCATTAGCAGCAGCAGCATCATCATCATTAGCATCATCATGAGCATCATCATCATCATCAGCATCAGCATCAGCATCATCATCATCATCATCATCAGCATCATCATCATCATCAATCATCAGCATCATCATCATCATCATCATCATCATCATCATCATCATCATCATCATCATCATCATCAGTCATCATCATTCATCATCATCATCATCATCATCATCATCATCATCATCATCATCATCATCATCATCATCATCATCATCATCATCATCATCATCATCATCATCATCTGCAGTAGCAGCAGCATCATCATAATCATCAGCAGTATCATCATCATCACCGTCACCCTCCTCCTCCTCCTCCTCTTTCTGCTCCTCCTCTTCCTGCTCCTCCTCCTCCTCCTCCTCCTCCTCCTCCTCCCTCCCTCCCTCCCTCCCTCCCTCCCTCCCTCCCTAGTAGAATCGAATCGAATCGACTTGGAAAAACTGGTCCCCCGCAGGCGACTCGGACCACATCGAATCGGATCGCGGGCGGCCCTGCGCCAGGCCCGTGCCGCGAGCGCTCGGCGTGGAGAAAATCGGGCTCCACATCGAGTCGCATCGCCGATACATCGGCGATGCGGCGCGATCCTCCGACCCCATCTACCCAGACATCCGGCTGCTCCAATTTTTGCGATGCATGGGCCCCAGAGGTCTGGACCAGTTCCAAAGAGCCAGTTTTTCGTCCTGAGTCGTTTTGTTGACGGTCCCGAGGCTTGGCGAGGGCCCCCAGTGGCCGAAAACAGCAACAACAACAAAAACGCCCGCCCCAACTTTTTTGGAGCGTCGTATCTCTGGGTACCCATCGGGCAGAGGAGGTAGGTAGAAACATGAAACGAGAAGAGGTTGTAAGAAGATGGGGTGCCCGCCCGCCTCCTTAAAGAGGACGGAAAAGGTGAAGCCGCTCGACCGTTGAAGTAGGAAGACGCCTAACGTAGATTGGCACCTGGCAGTCCAAAAATCCCTACTTTCAACGACCGATGGGTACTCGGACCCCGCGTGCGAGGCCTGGACAGAGGCGACCGAGTGACCCCCGTTGGCGCTTTTGCCCCCGCTGCGTGCGCCCCCGAGCGCTCGGCGCGTCCTCTTCCCAGGAGCATCGCCGTGCTCCCGGCTGTCCTCGCCGCCCGCCTCGGCACCCTCCTGATCGCCTCGGGGGCCACGAGAAGCTCCTCCTCCTCCTCCTCCTCTTCCTCCTCCTCCTCCGCCTCCTCCTACTCCTTCTCCGCCTCCTCCTCCTCCTCCATACCTTGTCCTTCTGAGAAACTCCTCCCTGTCGCACCCTCAGAAGTGTCGGCAGGGCGGGCTGGGCGTTCCGCCTGAGACTTCCTCGCCATGTATGATCCTGGAGCTTGAAAGTTCGCAACATGTTCACGGATGGAGGAGGGCCGTTTTCAAAGTGTGGCTCTCGCCTTAGCGCAGCGAACATTCGCCGTTAAAGCTTGCGGAAGATTCACAGATCGAGGACGGGCCCTTTTCAAAAATGTGGCCCTCGCCTTAGCGCCGAGGACATTCGTCTGGTAAGTGTGCAACAAATTCACGGATTAAGGGCGGCCCCCTTTCGAAATGTTGTTCTCGCTGTAGCGCCGCGCACATTCGTCTTCATCCTGCATCAAGTTGAATGATTCGTATGGTCGAAGTCCGAGAAGTGGTGTGCTGGCACGATTCAATATTCTCCGTTCCTGACAATCACCTTGATTCGCGGTGTTGAAGTCACGGGAACGGCGCTCGTGCACGATTTCGGATTGTCAAGACGCAACAGACGATTGAGGATTCTCAGACGGTCGTCTTCTAATGGGATACTTCCCGCAACAAGGGACCTACGAAGAGTGAACTTGGAGGGAGGGTGTATTAGAACATCGTTGCTGCGCCTTGGGTTTACACTGGTTATCCTCCTCCTCCTCCTCCTCCTCCTCCTCCGCCTCCTCCTCGTCCTCCTCCTCCTCCTCCTCCTCCTCCTTCTCCACCTCTGAAAGCAAAACTGGCAAAACCCGCCCTGGGTACCTGGGCTCCCGGCGCCTGTGGGGCCCGGAGGCCAACCTGCCAGACATTTCATCACATGCCGCGGCGTGCACGCGCTTTGCCCGTCCGGCTGGCCGCTCTGCTTGCCTGTCAGGGAACGCCAGAGCTAGAAGCCGTTCCTTGCTTCTCGAGGGGACAGCGAGAGGACCACCAAGGAACACCAAAATGAGAGGCTGTCGGGCGGCATTCTGTAGAAAGCGCGGACCTCCGAGTTGTTATGTTTACGTCATTATTCTGTTCCCTAAGCAAGAGGACCACCAAGGAAGACCAAAACGAGAGAATGCGGGGCGGCGTTCTGAAGAAAGGCTGCACACAGTGGAGGATCGCTCTGGGGAAGATCAGTCAACATGTGCCTACCCCGTGTCCTCCTGCACCTGATCAGCGCGCTGGCAAGACCTCGTGCATGCGGAACAGGCACCCTGCCAAGCCCAGAAACAGCGTGACGGTCTCTGGGGCCGAGACGGCCCAAGAGTGCCCCAGGAGGGCCCAGGACGGTCCTGAGAGGCCTCCAATAGACGAGCGCGTTCCACTACTCGCAAAGTGACTACTCGCAAACGGCCTGGATCCCCCGCGGAGGATCTACGAAAAATTACGTCAAAGCAGACATCTGTTTTTCGGACGTTTGCGAGTAGGCACTTTGCGAGTAGTGGAACGCGCTCGGTGATCCGAGACTGCCAAGACAGACCCACAAGGGGCCCCAGGAGGGCCCCAGCGCGGCCCCGGAGGGAGGTCGCCGGGAAGGCCGGAGCGGCCGCGCGACCAGCCCGAGCCCAGGCACCCTCGAGACCCCAGAGGGGGCCCGCTGCTCGACCGCGGGAAGCGGCGGTGACTTGCCCGAGGCGTCCACACAAAATGCACGAACGCCGTGTTGCTCCTCCTCCTCCTCCTCCTCCTCCTCCTCCTCCTCCTCCTCCTCCTCCTCCTCCTCCTCCTCCTCCTCTCCTCCTCCTCCTCCTCCTCCTCCTCCTCCTCCTCCTCCTCTCCAACCGCGCCCGATCCCTTTAGAGTCCCGAAACGGTGCGGTGACAGACCGCGCGGTGACCTCGGAAACCCAAGAGGCCTCACCGCACGGTCCGTTACCGCACGGTTTTGGGGCCGTGCGGTGACCCCGAATCCCCACCGACTCACCGCACGGTGTGGTCACCACCCCGTTTGGGGGCCCCCGAGACCCCGCAGCCGACCCAGGCCAGCCCCAGTGAACCCTCGCTTCGACTCCGGCATCTGGGCGGCCACGGGCCAGTCCTCCCCACGAGACTCTCTGTCTAGAAGGCACACACCAGGAGTAGGGCAATGAGCGGCTCCCGCTGCGGTGTCGAAGGTGGCAGGTCAGGTAAGAGTGGCGCCATGCGATGATACTGCGGCTGATGTCCGTGTGGATCGAGGTGCTGATGGTGGCAAAGATGCTGGCATCCCCACAGGATGGGGGTCGGCGGGGGCATTGGCGGAGGGAGTACATGCAACTTGGCCCAAGGCCCCCTGAATGCAGGACATTGCGAGGGCGGTGGGGATGAGAAGATGTGACTTGTATGTCTGGAGAAGATAGAGAGGAAAAAAAACACGATGGCGGGAAGGGGATTGGGGAGAGTGGGAGGGAGGAGAAGCAAAGCAAAGCAGGAGGGAGAGGACGACGACGAGCGCGAGCGGGGCAGCCCCTGGGGGTCCCCAGGCGAAGAGGAGTACCCCGGCGCAGCCCAGCCAACCCCCGGCCCCAGCTATGTGCTCTTCTTCTGGGCGTCGCACTCGGGGCTCTCCAAAGGGAGCTCCAGGAGCCTTCACCCAAAGTCTGCAGGAGAGCTCACGGGGGCCCGAGACGGTCCAGGGCGCTCCAAGACGTCCAAGGTTCTGAAGAATTTCGGCGTCGCCGCCCTTCTGGGCTTCCGACTGCCCAAAGCAGCCCAGGAGGCCCCCAGAATCACCGCAAGACGGCCCAAGAGAGATCCAGGACCCCAGGACGGCCCCATGGACGGCCCAAGAGGGGCTCAAGTTGGTCTAGGAGGCCCCCGAAGATGGCTCCAGAGGCTCCCAAGAGAAGCCCAAGACGGGGAGTCCGAGCTGACATGTCGAGCACTTTCCAAAAAGATAGCCCCCGAGACCGCCAGCAGGCCCCCAAGAGGCCCCCAGAGGCCCAAAATACTCCCCCAAGAGGCCCGTGAGAGGCGCCAGAAGGTCCCAAAATGCCCCAAGAGGCCCTATAAGAGGGCTCCCAAAAGACCCAAAGGCGCGTCCACAAGAGGCGTTTTGTCCACGGTTCACTTTGGCCCCAAGAGTGCGCCAAGAAGCCATCGAGAAGCCCCCTCCTCCTCTTCCTCCTCCTCCTCCTCCTCCTCTTCCTCCTCCTCCTCCTCCTCCTCCTCCTCTTCCTCCTCCTCCTTCTCGCTCGCCACGAGCACGCCCACAAAGCCACACTGATGCAAGATGGGCCAGCGGAATGAGCGAAACGACTTCAGAAAGTGAGCTTTACCATTAAGTCACTGCACAAGCATTCTGGTACATCTTGCGAACGGACATATCACCCATCATGAACAGAAGATGCAACAACAAAAAAGCTTCAGCAGACATTGAAGGCGCCATCGCACGAGAGCAAACGCTTTCAAACGCATCATCGACAATTCGCCGGCCCAACGGGCCAGGGCGTGCTAAGATCTCCGGTACCTGGTTAACAGTATTTCTAGTTCGCGCGCGCTGGGCGGCCCCTGGGGGTCCCCGGACGAAAAGTACCCCGGCAAGGTCCCGGCGAGTCCCCGGCAAGGTCGGGTCAGAGATGCCGGAGTTCTGTTTCGGAGTCCAAGAGGGCTCCAGATCGGTCCAAGAGGGCCCCGAGAAGCTTTCTAGACGGTCCAAGAGAGGCCCGAGACGGCCAAAGATCGCCCGAAGACGCCCCAGATGGCCCCAAGACAGCCCAAGAGGCCTCCAAGACGCTCCAAGGGCCTTCCAAGAGGCCTCCGAAGAGGGCCCCAAGTTGCCAAAATCGTTGATTTTCATTTTTTTTTCTATGTTTTTTTGCGTTCTGGCCTTTTCGCTTCCGGACGCTCCAAGAGGGCCCAAGAGGCCTTCAAGACTGCTCCAAGACGGCCCACGAGGCTCCCAAGACGGCCCCGGAGCGGCCCAAGAGCGCCCCCCAGACGGCCCAAGTGCTGCCCAAGGCGGACCAAGAGGCCCCAAGACGGGCCCAAGAGGGGCTCAAGAAGGGAACCGAGAACTGAAAAATCGAGCCCTCCGCCCCAGAAGGCGCCCAGGACCCCGAAAGAGGCCCCAAGAGACTCTCCAAGACACCCCCAAGACGCCCCAATAAGCTCCCGTGAGGCCCCAAGAGGACCAACAACGTCAGGCCCCAGGCCCCAAGAGGACCAACAAATACCGCCAAGAGCCCGCCGAAAGCCCCCCAAGAGACCGTCACGAGAGCTCAGGAGGCCCCCTGGAGGCCTCCCGAGTTCTCCAAGAGGCCTAAAAAGAGGCGCCAAGAGGCCCCAAACGGCCCCACCGAGGCTCCAAGAGGCCACGAACGCGCAAGCAAACGCCTGCGATGGCACAATACGGGCCGGCGGAATGAGCGAAGCGATTAAATAATGCTATTATCATTAGGGGTACTCAGCATCCAAAGTACATTCTGCTTTGCGATTGTCAGAGAAGTTTGGGGCACTGCGTATCCGCAAGCCGTCCGAAAAGGCTGCAGGACCTCGGCTCTCATTCGCGAAAGAGGCTAGGTCTGAAAACCAGATCAATAAATGCGGTTCCTTCATCTGCGCCTCGTCATCTAAATCCTTGGGCCCGGGTGAGCAAGCAAAGGGTGATAGTCCCGTGGCCAGTGGGGGGAGGAGAGGAAGAGAGAAAGAGAGAAGGCTGGCGAGGACGGGAAGAAGAAGAGATGTGGGAGGATTGGGAGGGTGGATGGAGGAGGGGAGGAGGGAAGGAAAAGGGGGGGATGAGGGGGGGATGAAGGGGGGGATAAGAGGCCGTGCCCGTACACGCCTTCAGGACATCGGACGTGGAGGCTCGAGCAATGAGAGACCCAAGTGGGCTGCGACACTCGGATTCAGGCGGGCGGAGAAGACCGCAAGTAGAATGACAGGCGAAGAGGAAGGAGAACGGAGAGGACAGCAGCAGTGACTGCGTCGGCACGCAGCGGGCAGACGGAGCACGGATCGGGTCGGGGCGAAATGGCTCGGCGCGGGAAGCAGCGAGAAGGACCCGGCAGGGCCTGCCCCGGGCGGGACGTGCGCGCCGCCGCTCCGAACCCCGGACCCTTCCCGGGACCAAAGCGCTCCTCCTCCTCCTCCTCCTCCTCCCCCTCCTCCTCCTCCTCCTCGTCCAGGGTTCGACTGTAACCCTCCTGCAGAAGCCCCCAGGGGCCCAGAAGGCGCACCAGCACTGCAGTGCCAACACCCGAGGAAATCAAAAGGTACAGATACCGCTGCTCCCTTGACCACTCCCAGGGTGCGCTCTGGCTAGGATTTCGAAGCGAATCCAGCCGTGGCGACGAGGGCCACCCAGGAGGGCGACAGAGGGGAAAGAGGCGAAAGGTAGCGGTATCGGTACCTTCCCAAACATGCGAAGTCCTGATTTTTTCAACACGCGGTCCCTGCTTCGGGGATCTGCTAACCCGGGTCAATCAGAAAGAAACCAAAAAACTGCAATGCAGGAAAAAGAACATTGCAACGCAGGGCTTCGCAGACCCGGGTCAGCCAGTATGCGCGGCCGCCTCGCGGCCACGAGCGGTTCGCTAACCCGGGTCAGCCAGAAGCGGTTTTCGCAGGACCCTGCAGGATCCGGCGCCCTGGCTGACCCCCGTTTGCATTGACCCCCGTAGCTTAAGCTCCGACCGAAAGTTCCTAACCTTTCACCGGCACCGATGTTTCGTCCTGAGCCGTCTGCCGACGGCCCTAGGGGCCAGGGCGAGGGGGCCGCCCCCTGAGGCCAAGGAGGGCGGCCAGACACCTCCCGCCGCCCTGCTTTGTTTTTTCCCCGACGCGACGGCTGATCCTCCTCCTCCTCCGCCTCCTCCTCCTCCTTTTCCTCCTCCTCCTCCTCCTCCTCCTCTTCCTCCTCCTCCTCCTCCTCCTCCTCCTCCTCCTCCTCCTCTGGGCCCTCCGCGCGCTCACACCACCCACCGGTCGGGAGAAGAGGGTAGAAGCATGAAGTAGGAAGGCGTTGACAGTAGATCGGGTGCCCGCACGCCCCCATAAGGAGGACGGAAAAGGTGGAGCCACTCGATCACTGAAGAAGGCGCTTACAGTAGACTGGAATCTGGGATCCAAAAATACCTACTTTCAGCGACCGATGGGTAATTGCGACGACCCTGCTCGCGAAGGTGGGGCTTTGGGCGGGTCCGCCCCCCTCGCCTGGCCGCAGCTCGCCCACTACAGGAGGAGCTCGACCAAATTCAGTCAATATGAGCAGCGTTTTTTGGCTATCGCGTCCCGTTCGCGCACGTCGCTACAGGTTTGTTTGTCGCCGCCGCGTTCCTCTCCTTTCCTCCTTTGCCGTTTCGAACGTGTTGAGGCGAGGTGTTTGCAAACAGTTTTGTCGGCAAGTGGATATTGCATTTTGCGGTGATGGATTATCTAACCTATCTGTGGTCACGGTGCCAAAGAGGCCAGAGAATTTGTCCGTCTCTGAACTCGCATTGCGCAGCTTTTCTTCTCCTCGCTTCGGACTGATAGTGACGCAGGACCTGGCGTAATTCCTGTGCGCTATATATATACACACACATACACATACACATACATACATAGATATGCCACAATAAGCCCAACCCTGAAACGCCAGGACGTCCATCGATTTCTGGTGTGGAACATCACGCTTCTCCCAGCAAAACCCAAGAAACTCAGGGCACCCTGGAGGCAAGCAGGGTGCTTCTTGGCATGGATTTCCACGGTACGTCGACGTCGCAGCCGACAAGGCGGCGCCCATCGCTGGGCGAGGGCCAGCGCGGTCTGGATACGGCGCGCGGGTCGGAACGGCCTTCGGCCACAGCATCTCCGCAGTACTGGTCCTCCCTTCTGCGGCAACTCACGGGAGCCTACCATAGCATCTTACTGGCTCTTGCGAATCGACGCGAACCGAAGCTAAGTCGACGCTAAATCGACGCTGCTCGACACGAATAGGCGCTAAATAAGCGCTATAGCATGGATTACATTACAAGACTCCCATCGACCCGAATGCACTCTTAAAACTAAATCACGAAGGTACCCGAGGCCCCCCATGATTTGCTACCGAGTGTCCACCATAGCATGGCCTGAACCGGCCTCGCATGGCTTAAACCAACTCCGTGCTGACCAAAAACCAGCATTCTTCTGGCCAGCCCCAGGTTAAGGCCTGCAGGCCCCCTATCGGGCTAGCGAACAGCCACCAGGAGTTGCCGCCGACCGACCCGGCCTGAACAAGAGGTTCGGGGACAGATCGCCCATGACGGTGGCCGCGCTACGTCTTGAACGGCGGCCAGCATTGGCCCCTGTGTACGAGCGACGGGGGCCGTAGCTCTGACCCCTGCACCCGTCGGCAGTGTGTGCCTCTGCACGGCAACAAGAGTACATCGGAGAACCCCTTTTAAAGAAGGAACGATCACGCTTCCGTCGAAACTGAACGACTTGCGCGGCCTTCAAAGGCCCCTCGGCGACCCCTTCCAAACCCACCCCAACTAGACACGGGCTCCCCATAGAAAGGGCAACCCCAATAATGCACGCACCCCCAGAGCATATCCGTCTGTAGCCAAAGTGCGTCTGCGCCGATACCGCACTCGAACGCACTGTTGTTCCCCTCACCACCTGTCTGGCGAACGTGCGTTTCGCTTCTAGCTCCTGCTGTCACGCAGTGATCTTCACGTGCAACTCCACCTTTCGAGGAGAAACTTTGGCGCACACGTCGGGAACAACAAATAATGACGGCAGTTCTCGCTATATTGCCCTACACGAGAACGAGAAACTGCAAAGCAAGAGCATCGATGCAACACCGCCCCATCAGGTGGAGCCATGTCGAACCACAATCCATCTGGGCCCTGCCAAGCCGCATCGTCAACCAAGCCGCATCGTGCTGGGTTCGGGCGGCCACCCTGCCCAGGTCGCCACCGTAGGGTCCGCAGCCTCGTCGCGGGTGGCTCTTCTCCCCAGGCCCCTGGCCCCGCCTGTCTGCTTGCGATCGCTGCTTTCCTTCCTCCTTGTCCTCCTTCTCCTCCTCCTCCTCCTCCTCCTCCTCCTCCTCCTCCTCCTCCTCCTCCTCCTCCTCCTCCTCCTCCTCCTCCTCCCCCTCCTCTTCCACCTGCTTTTCCTCCTCCTCTTCCTCCTGCTTCCCTCCGTTTCCGTTCCTCCTGTTCCCTGCCTGCTGTCCCCGCTTGGCCCCTCTTCTGCTGCCCGCCCGCCCCGCCGGCCCTGGCCTCCCGCCTGGGCGTCCGTCGTCGTCTGCCTGCTTTTCCCGTCCTCGCCCCCTGCCGCCAGGCAGCACAGCCTGCCCGGGACCAGCGTGGCGCAGCCTGTTTCCGTAGCCAAAAATTCGAATCTCGGATTAGCTGCAGGATCGGGCCAAGCAGACTGCATCACTGCTGGGCCATGCCACGCGGCAGCCACGCGGCAGGCGGCGGCGATGGGTAGGACTGACAAACACACTAAGATCGGCGCGCGCGCGCCCGCCCCAAACGGAATGGGAAAGGCACCCGCCACTAGATGGCCCCTGAGAGACAGGTGTTGGGTAAAAAACGTATCGATCACTGCACCGACATTGCACACGTGCTGCAGTGGAAATTTTGCGTGGATTTCTGTCAAGGCGCAAAACCCCGAAATGGCGAGTGGAAAGCGAAGTGAATTTCGCGCGGATTTTGTTCAGCCTTCACTCCTGGCCAAAAAACTACCCACACGAAGTTCACCTCGAAATCCGGAACGTAACTATCCAGGACACTCCAGGCCCATCCTATCGTTTTCCGAACGAAATCCGCTCTGCGATGTGGGCGCCATGATGTCGAACGACCGCGATGAGCTTTTCGCAGCCACCAAGCGAGAAGGCACCGAGCTGCCGTGCCCGATCGGCTTGGCAGGCGCCCTGGGTTGGGCGGTGTCCCCCAGGGCCGTAGGCGACCCGAGGAGGAGGAAGAGGAGGTGGAGGAGGGGGAGGAGGAGATGGAGGAGAGGGGGGAGGAGGGAGGTGGAAGGGAGGACAACAAGACAAGACCACTTGCGAGCCATAGTTTCGTGTCTGAAGAAGACGAAGAGGAGGAACAAGACGCGTCGCTCAAGCCCTTCGGAGAAACCCTCCACCCTCGGTGGTGGTCGGCGCAATGACTCGCGCAAACCAACTCATTCCGCGGGTGCCTGGTGCCTGGTGGTGCAAGACGGTCAGGCGCCGGTCACAGCGAACGGTGGGATGCAGTAGAGGCCAGGCCACGCTGGCCAACCTCGAGCCCGGACCCTGGAGGGACCAGAAGATGGTTTGACCCAGCGGGGCTACGGAACTTCGCGCAGACAGGCGTGAAGGAAGAACGCGCGGGTGCCCTTAGCGCAAGCTCCCCTGGTGCCGCGAGGTAGATCGCGTTCCGTTCAACATGTCACGTCCTCCAGCGGACCTAACCTGGACGGCGTCGGTCATCATTGTGGCCGTCATCGCCGTCGCCTCGGTCATACCCCGTCACATGATTCCTGAACATCATTAGGACGTCAACCCATGGTACGTCAAATTCAAAGGCACAGCGGCGGTTCCTCGGCGCTGCACGAAAAAATTAAGCCTGGCCGACGCAACGTCGCAAGGCACGATATCACACGGCAAAGCTCTCATATGG